GAGCAACTAATATTCTTCAACCTGGTATTTGTTTTAGATTTTATTTTTCATTCTTTTTGTCTGTTTTTTCGAGTTTAAAAAATGTGAGCTGGCTGGAGCCTTCATCCCTTGTCTTATTTCTTACACTAGATACCAGCCGATACCAGCCCCCCCCCCCCCCTGCTCATAGGGAGTGCGTACAGTTTATCATAGTTCCTGGGCTCCCTGTAGACGTACTAGAGATTGTATGTCCATGGTTCCACGCATTCACAACATGTTCACAGCGGTCAATATCCACGCTGTATCATATACAAACGATTACCAGGATTCGTTACGCAAGACCAAGTTTTAAATTAGTTGCATTTTGAAGGGGTGGGCGTTTTGCCGAATGTGACCCCAAATATAAAAATTGCGCAAAAGTGGGGGATGGGCGCTTGCCCGGGCATGGGCGCTAACGCGGTCGAGTACGGTAATTGCTATATAAAATCTACTAATAGATGAGACAAAAAAAAATCTTTTAAAATAGCTCATATTGTATCCTCATATGTCAATTCAGACAATTACAGTATTTTTTATTTACTGAATCAATATAAAATGGCTAATTAGTACAGTGCATCTCTGAAATCACTGTACCAATTATACGGGTATGTTCAAACTTGACACGCACATAATACAGTATTTTGTTTAGCAATTCACTCAAAGATGGTTGACTAGTGGCCACTTTTGTTGTAAAATGTACCATTTTGAATATTTGTTTTAAATTTTGTACAAATTTTGATGTACATCATAATAAATCATGATTCTACTTTAAAATTGTCAACTGGATTCATATAATCACAAAAATTCATTGGATAGAATATTAAGCAAAAAATGTTTATATGTTGATAATGATTCCTATGAAGACCAGTTAAATTACACTTCTTTTATAACCATTGAACATCAAATTTGTTCCCGCAAAAATTTAGTGCATCATTTAATAATAATAATAATAATAATAATAATAATCTTTATTGCATCCTTAGAAATACAATCTTTTTATCAGTCTACAGCAAGAAATTAATAAAAGAAAGTTGGGTTAGTTAATAATGAGATAAAAGTAATAGTAAATGAAAGTATCTATAGTAATGATTTTATGAGGAATTTTTATTTCTGATTTCAAAAGATCTGTAAATATACTTCCCTACTTAATTATATTTTGGTTATTGCTCATCAGATATATAAATAAATGTTTTTTGTTTATTATCTATTTCTTTAGGGAGTTAAATATTTTCCTTCATTTCATCTCGATAATTGTTGTAGAGATGACAATTCATGAAGAAATGTAATTCATCCTCAGTTTCATTTTGAGAACAGTTTATGTATTAAGTTCTATTTTGGAGTTTTGGGTTGAGTGTGTCTATCTGTTTCAATAGCAAAGTTATGGTTACTGGTTCTAAATTTACATAAAGTAATTCTTTCTTTGAGGGGAAGTACAGATAAATATGGTTCACAAGTATATATAAACATCACATATGTTCTTAGCTTTGTTTTTCTTAAGGCATTCTTTCCAGAACTCAATGTAATCCTTTTTTAGTGCATTCATAATTTGTTTTGAATCCCTGTGATAAGTTTGACTTCATCTGTTCTTGTTCTAAGATTTCGATTTCCCAAATTTCTGCACCATATAATAGAAGGTGACAAAATTCACAATTTGGCATTCAAAGGAAATTAATTCAGAAAAATCATTTTCATTCCACTTTTTTGAAGCATACTAGTGTTCTCATTTGTGTTTTCTGAAATCCTAAACTTGTATGCATGTCAATTGAGATTTGATTTTTGTCACTTATGTAAACAAGTGGCAATATTCCATCCTTTAACAACTTCTTTGCTAAATTTGCTGTGACAATACTAGCCAATCCTTTTCTCCTATACTTGGAAGCTGTGTATGTCATCCCTATGTCACCAATTTGTCCTACAACAGCTCTGCTGATTGGCTGATCTTCTTCATTAAACACAGCCAAGGTTGCTAGACAGTTACCATTTATAAGATTTTCAAATGTCTTGATCGGTGGTGGAGTTCCGTATTGCCACTCATCATGGATGTAAATAGCATGTTTTTTATCTAGCGGGGCTAATCGCATCCCATAAGGTAGTTTCTTCTTAATCATTTTTTCAAATTTATCAGAATTGTTTAATGTGTACTGACAATAGAATTCTGATTCACTTGTGCAATGTTGATTGCATTCAAAGAAATTTTTGATTATGTCGTACAATGAAATGGAGAACTCTACCTGAATTTCACCGTCTTGGATTGACTTTATTACACCATGTTGGTGGAGCAGTTTTTGCATATTTGTAACATTGACACTGTAAATATAGTATTTATGTTTATACCCATATATATTCTCTCTTGTGACATCACATATAATACTAGTGATTTGGTTGATGTCTTGATTATCAACATAGACAGCTATGTGGGGGCATTTCATTTTCCAATAGTTATGAACCACTTTGTAAACTAGGAAACAATCTGGCATCCACTTCTCAAGCACTCTTAGTAGTTGAGCTGTTTTCTTGTGTTCCAGTTCCATTTCACTTTTTTCTTAATGACAGCATCTAAAGGAAAATGAAAAAATATCTGATAAATAGTGTCATACTTTCATTTATTGTCTAATAATTATTAGTCCAAGTATGGTTTAGTTTCTGTATCCCAGACGTACTTTGACCAATTTTTACTCAAATATTACACATACTTACTTGTCTGATTCGTAAATTGAATCGCTTGTGGTGGATTACCGATGCACATTATTTTGTTTTGTGATTTCATTGAAAATTTGAAAATGTCATTAACTGTTTTTTTTTCATGCCTGTATAAAAGCACATATCATACGGTAATTCTATAATTCTGAGATAGACTTCATAGTATACCTGAAAATTGTTTGAATATAATAGTATCGTACCAATATTTCTACTTACCAATATTTTAACTGGGAACCGTTGAACTTAAAGTATACCATTTAATGTTTAGAAGATAACCATTTGAAGTCACTGTAAGCAGTGCTGGTTAAAAGCTGCTGTGGCACACATAAATGCCAGGTGAATATCCTATATTAAAAATAAAAAATAGCTACCCTTATTTTAAAAATAGAGTCAGAAATAAACACTCAGATTAAAAGACAGTGGGATTTTGAATAGAATAACATGCACAGAAAACATTTTGGCAAATAGCATGCAAAAAAAACGAAAAAATTCTATAGGGAATGTGACAAAAAAAAAATGCGAAAATAATAAAAACCTCACATACTCGAAAGACAAGGGTCAAACAAATTTTGTGGGAATAATATCATGTAAAAATGCACCAGTATCTCAAAAATGAGTCAAGGTCAACAAATTGTCACAGTAGTTCTACTCTCCCCAACTTCCTAATGATCAGTCTCTTCTCTTGTAAAATCTTTAGGGTACCGTAGTATGCATTGTCATTTTTTTCTGCTGTTTTTTTTTTTGGAATTTATGATATTTTATTAATGACACGACACTTGAAGTTGTACAGTAAAATAGAACAAATTTACCGTACTTATCCGGGTAAGAGCCCATGCCTGGGCAAACGACCACCCCCCACCCCCCACTTTTGACACAATAAAGGAGTTGAGGTCACACACCCAGGGGGTCTTTTTCTACACAAAAAAAACTATTTTCTATTCATTGACTGTGGTTGTATTAACAGTTGACTTTCTTGAAGACTGTCGTGATACTTATAAAAAATGTTAATTGCGTAAAACAAGGGGTGAACGCAAAATAGCTGTGACAGCTTTCTGCCTTCAGGGCAGCGCATTCTGAATCATAACAGTCAGCAAGTCTATAAAAATATATATTAAAGCAGAAACGGTAGTTCTCTTTTTAGCTCCGCTGTCGACTTTGTCGAACGGAGCTTATCATATGAGTGATTGTCCGTCGTCGTCGTCGTCGTCGTCCGTGTCAATGTTTTACTTTTTCGACTTCTTCTTGAAAACTACAAGCCTGAATGCTTTGATACTTGGTGTATATGTACCTTGGGTAGACCCCTCTTAGGTTTGTTCATTTCATGTTGATATCTTCAATTCTCTAATTTTGGTGAATATTTTTGTCATTTTTGGTAAAAAGTGATATTTTCGACTTCTTGTTAAAAACCACAAGTGCAATTGCTTTGATATTACATATATAGGTACTACATGTGGACCTCTCTCAGATTTGTTCATTTTGTAATGATATCTTTAATTCTCTAATTTTCGTGAATATTTTTGTAATTTTTGGTAAAAAGTTATATTTTCGACTTCTTGTTAAAAACCAATTGTTAAATTGCTTTGATATTACATATTTAGATACTACATGTAGACCTTTCTCAGATTTGTTCATTTCGTGATGATATCTTGGATTCTATAATTTTGGTGAATATTTTAGTCATTTTTGGTAGAAAGTGATATTTTCGACTTCTTGTTAAAAACTGTAAGTTCGATTGCTTTGATACTATACATATTGTTCATTTTCTGATGATGTCTTCAGTTCTTTAATTGAAATGTGCATTTCTAACAGCGGAGCTATCTCAGCCGATAGGCTGCTTGTTAGTCCCCGTTCGGACGCAGTCCGAAAACGGGGACTTATGTTTTGCCCTGTGTGCGTCCGTGCGTCCGTGATCACCTGTATCTTGAACATGCATGGACCGATTAAGTTCAAACTTCACTCATACATCACACCTTATATGGGACATATGCACATGCATTTTTTTCATGATCCGATTAACGATAGCCGAATAGCGGCCATTTTAAGGCCGAAAATGCATCAAAATCGCACATTTTCACCATTCCGGACCCGGATCTCAGTTATGCATGGACAGATTTTGTTCAAATTTGGTACATACATTAAACATAATAGGACCTTGATGCACGTCATTTTTTTTTTTGGATCGGGTTCGAAATGGCCGACTGGCGGCCATTTTGTTTTAAAGAATT